TATCAGAGGACACACTCCCCAATTTCAAGGTTTACTGCAAGCAACAGTAATCTAAACAGTGCGGGTCTAACATAAAGACTAACAAACAGTTAAATGGAATACAATTAAGAGTGCAGAAATCTGCCCATACATCTGGTTAATCAATTTTCAACAATGGCACCAAGATCATTTGATGAGTATAGAATAGTCTTTTTTTTTAATTTTAGGTTTTGGAGTACATGTGAAGAACATGCAAGATTGTTGCATAGGTACACACATGGCAGTGTGATTTGCTGCCTTTCTCCCCTTCACCTATATCTGGCAATTTACAAAGAACTAAAACAGAATAGTCTTTTTAACAAATGGTTCAGGTAGCACTCAGTATTCACATGCAAAAAAATAAATAAATAAAGTTGAACCCTTCCTCAATCATATATAAATATTAATTCAATATGGGTCATATATTTAAATGTTAAAACTAAAACTATAAAATTCTTAGAAAAATATATACGAGTAAATCTTCATGACCTTAAGTTAGCCAATGCCCTCTTAGATGTGAGACCAAAAGCACAAGACAAAGAGAAAATAGATAAATTTGACTTCATCAAAATTAAAAATTTGTGCTTCAAAGAGTAACATCAAGAAAGTAGGAAGACAACCCACAGAAGAGGAAAAAAAAATTGAAAACCAAGTATCTGATAAGAAACTTTTATCTAGAATATACACACACACATAGAGAAAGAAAGAGACAGAGAGAACACTTGCAATTCAATAATTTTTAAAAACTGAATTAAATGAATAAGCGCAATTTAAAATAGGAAAAGGGATGAATAAACCTTTGTCCAAAAAATATATGTAAATGCCAAAAATAGTCATAAAAAATGCAAATCAAAACCATTATGAGATATTATTTTATATCTACAAGGATGGCTATAACTAAAAAGATAGGTAATAACAAGTGTTGGTAAAGATGGGGGTAATTAAAACTCTCATACGCTGCTGGTTGCACTGTAAAATGTGCAGTTGCTTGGGAAAATAGGCTGGCGATTCCTAAAATAACTAAATATAGAGTTACCATATAAGCCAGCAATTATGCTCCTTGGTACATAAACCCCAAAATTGAAAAATATATGCCCATACAAAAATGTGTATGTGTTTATAGTAGCATAATAGAAAAAAAAAGAAAATAATCCAAATGTCCAGCAATCAATGAATGAATAAACAAAACTAGGTATATTCATACAATGAAATGTTACTCAGGAATTTGTAAACATGAAATATACACAATACAATTTGCTTTAAAATAAATAAATAAACAACATGGATGAACCTTGAAAACATTTTGCTAAGTAAAATAATCCAGAAAGAAAAAGAAAACATAAAAGATTCCATTTATATTAAATGTTCAAAATATGCAAATCCATAGAGACAGAAAGCAGATTAGTAGTTTTCAGGGCCTGGAGTAAACAGGAAATGAAGAATGATTGCTTTAAATAGCATTTCTATTTGGGTGATGAAAATGTTCTAGAATTAGAGGTTATGGTTGCACAACATTGTGAATGTACTGGAATCCATTGAACACTTTAAAATTATTAAAAATTTCATGTTATGTAAATTTTACCTCCCTGGAAAAAGAAAATGTTCTCCTGTAATACCTCTCCAGTGCTCCTACTAACATAGCTTAGCATTGAGCCAGCTGGGAAGAGAGTAATAAATGGCATGTAGCCATTTTCATAGAGCAGACAAAAAGGATAAATTTGAAGTTTAGGTGCAATAAATTGATTATCAGCACAGTTCACACCATTAACCATGCAGCTTCTGTATGAACTCTTTTACACAAATTTGGAATTCCATACAACAACAAAACAGCTTGATACTTCTTAAGTATCAAGGAGGAAGGAATTCTCACCTTTCCCCAGAGGAAAGATGCACAAGAATCACTGTACACATTGCTGGATATATTGTTAATTATTACTCAAATTTGGCATCCCATTGAATATTCTGTGGCCTAAAGACTGAATTGTAAAGTTAACTTCCAATAACTTGTATACAAAATAAAAACGGACAGGAGAGAGAAGAAAATGGTTAACATATAGAAATAAAAGCAAATGTATAAAAAGCAAATAAAAATATTAAAAACTGCTACAGTTCTCATTTTTATAATTGGTCACAAAGCCATAACTGATATCTACCATATTTCCCCCACCTCTACCAGAACCTGGAGGAAACTTGCCTCCATTATATAGAAGCAATTCAATTTCCTCTTAGTAATTGGGATCAATCGTTCCAACTGATAGGTTAATCTCTTTTTTTTTTTCCTGTTAGTTCTGTGGTATAAAGAAGTAAAATGTGCGCTTCGATATAAGAATATATAAACATAGGGTCCAAATTAAAATATTTTCTGTTCCAGTCCTCTGGTGTTATTTGAAGCATTTGTTTCCATTCCTATACATGTAAAATGAAATCCAGAATATCTCCCTATCCCAGTCAGAAACTATTAGTAACCTCTTGGGGCCAATAATATCTACTTGTTAGCTATATATCAGTCCAGACAGTAGCTCATAGTGGCCTTTGGTATCTCATTATCATGCTGACAAGCAAAACACATTTGAACTTCAGAGGGAGTTGGTAGATTAGATTTATCTATATGCTTTACCTATTTACTTACTTCTCATTATAGCATCACTAGAATAGCCTCATGACCACTCATCTCAGAAACCCAAAAATACTCTTTCAGGAAGCAGATTAGAATATTCATTTGTTGACTCTAGTCCATTTCTGAATTCAGAAGAGTATTTTTCTGATGAGCATCAACATATACCTCTTTAAATTCTCCCTTTCCAAGCTCATAAAGTTTTCCATAATATAGCATGTCATAATGGAATTCCTGACATTATTCAGTCATTCAAGGTTCCTCATAGATCGTATCACCAATTTATTGTCTGTGATCTAAAAGTAGTTATAATTCTATCTTACTAAATTGTTATCATTTAGTTCCTCTAATATCATGAGAAAAATCCATTGAGCAGATTCATCTTTCTTTGGGGTAAGTTGACTGATTTAAAAAAAAAAAAAAAAAAAAAAAAAAAAAAAAAAAAAAATTACCAAATGCACAAAATCACTTATAAAATTTAGAAATTTTCTAACGAAAGTAATTTTATTACTCTTTTTTTCCAGTTTAGCTAACACTAAAAATATGATGTCATGAATCACAAGAGAGACAAGTGAACCTAGAAGAAGGAACTGATCAACACGGACAACTACTGGAGAGGATTCTGGTAGGATTAAGTTCTAAAATATAACCATTATGTTTGGCAATTTAAGGTCATTAGCAAGGGCAGTTTGTGTGATGTTATGACAAAAGTAAATTGCAGCAAGTTAAAAAGCATTCAGGAAGTGTGAGAGAGAGAGAGAGGGCAAAATAAAGAAGCTACTCCTAAAGCTTGGGAAGAGGGAAGTAGATAGGGGCAATCACTGGAAGGGATATGGAGTAAAAGTATATTTAACATGGGAGATGTCAGAACCTTTCTGTAATGAGGGGCACTATTCATCAGATAGGGATGAATTGATGCCTGAGGAGTCTGGATGAAAAACTATTTGGTGGGCTGCCCCTGCGACTAGGGCTAAAGAAGTATACTCCTAGAAATTAGTTGACTAGCTGCAGAGTACTTGGGTCCTATTCCCATTGCAATGTTAAAAGCATTAGGCCCTCGAGGATGCTTATAGAGTAGGGAGGGCATAGAGAGCAGCACACCAGGACCAGGTATCTCAGGGATCTAACTTACACCAAGAGTGTTGAGCAAGGACAGGAATCTGTTCTGAACAACAAAAGGGTGAACATAGGCAGCTGTGGCCAGGAAGGTAAAAGCAGCTACAGAAGACTTTGCCAGCCTGAGAGCTTCTTCATTGCCCTTCCTGAAATAGTAAGTAAAGCAGTCAATGACCTGAATCTTGAGAGGTGAGGGAACAGACATGGTCCATGTCCTGTAATTCTGTCCTGATCTCTAAACTTGATTACATGTCCTATCTTTGGTTTCCATAGTCAACTTTCCTTGTTTGATTTTTCACCTCCAGTTTCCCACTTTGCTCAGACTCTTCACCTTTGTATTCTGTCTGTGATCAGGAAACAAGAGAGAAATGAGGCTGAGCTAAGATGGCCAGTGAATAAATAATGATAAACCAAGGGATCTAGAATAATACAATAAATTCTTTGTTCAAGATTCCCAGAATGAAAAGTAACTACAAACAAAAGACTATTTTATTATATTTAATAAAATACATGTAACTTTAAAAACAAGACATCATATTTAATGTAAATTCTAGCTGAATTACCTGTTAAATTTAACCAAAAAGACCAAGATGTTTGCCATGATAATTACTTTACGTTGATTATGAATTTCCAACCATTATATTAAGATATAAAACAAAAATTAAGATATGTCAATATTTGTAAAGAAGGAATTTATATTATTGCTAGCAAGCAACTTTTTGTTCTACCTAGAAAAAAATTAATATATAAATGGAAAAACTCTAAGAATTGACAATAGTTTAGCAAAATGGGTGATATGCAAGACAAAATAACAAAACAAATACAACTGCAATCCGTAAGATAANAAAAAAAAAAAAAATCACAAAACACTTAAAAGTGGCACAAGTTTAGAAAAGTAGGTAAATGCAAGAGGAAATAAAAACATTCTAATATCTATTCTAACATATCACTTTATCATAGATCTATGGACACATTCTAAAGTATGTTTCTGTGATATGAACCCCATTGAGTTTATCTTTTTTAGTGTTATTATATCAATTAGAATATATAATACAGGCCAGGCACAGTGGCTCACACCTGTAATCCCAGCACTTTGGGAGCCCTAGGCAGGCAGATTACCTGAGGTCAGGAGTTTGAGACCAGCCTGGACATTATGGTGAAGTCCTGGCTCTACTAAAATACAAAAACATTAGCTAGACATGGTGATGCATGACTATAATCCCAGCTACTTGAGAGGCTGAGGTAGGCGAATCACTTGAACCTAGGAGGAAGAGGTTGCAGTGAGCCAAGATTGTGCCACACTGCAGCCTGGGTGACAAAGCAAGACTCCGTCTCAAAAAAACAACAAAAAAAACATATAATGCAGAAACACATATTCACTAAAAACATTCCAAACACTAATAATGATAATAAAAACAAGTAAAAATTTTAATGATAATTTTTTCAGATTTAAATAAAGGCAGACAGGATCCATATTTGTGGATGAGAAGGCTTGATAATATAAAGATATCAATTTTTTTTCTAAATTAATCTATAGATTTAACACAATTCCAACCAAAAACATGCTATTTTAGAATTCAACAGAGAATTTTAAGGGTACTCTGGAAAATAAATACATAAAAATAGCTTTATATTAAAGAGAATAATAAGAGGGATATAGTTCTGTTATGTGTTAAATTTATTATAAAACTAAAGTTTTTACTTTGGTTTAATATTGACAAAAAATAACCAGAAAGAAATAGAAACAATAGAATCCCAGAAATGGAATTTTATATATGTGTATATAAATTCACTGTGTGACAAATGACACATAATAATCATTTGGTGAGAGCTGTAGAAGCCATTGTCTAATTATTTGAAATCCATTTATTCACATATTTCTCATCAACAGCAAAAGTAATTCCATGTAAATAAGTTGTATCACAAAAAAACAACTATTAAAAATTAAAAATATAGGAAAGAAAATATTGGTCAAAATTTGAGTAAAGAATAATATTCTGTAATTGTTTCTTGTTTGGATTGTGGAATGCTTTGAGAACTTGATAAAAGATAAACAGATCCTCTCCCCAGAAAAGTATGAATATAGACAAAATGTTTCCCTACAAATTTAGGAAGTTTGCAAACTTCCATGAGACCATCAATAAATTCTTGGTTAAATAGTTCTATTTTAAGCATAAAAGATAAACTATTCATAAAGGGAAAATAGTACAAATAATATTTTAAAGGTAAAACATACATATATACAAGCATATGCATATATATGTATATATTTACAGCACATAAAACCAAACAAAAATTGGGGGAAATGTTATAAAATGATTTGATAACATTCAGTAGTCATTGAAAACATGTTTATAAAAATTTAAAATGTCTATAAGGAGTTTCCCAGTGAATTGGAAAGTTTTTATGCATAATGGTAAGAAAAAGCACAGTTTGAAAGATCCTATTTTCATGAAACAGGAACTGTATAAGAAGACTACAAAGAAAAATGATAAAAATAAATAAATATTTTGAAATGTTAAATCTTTGCTGGGATTTTTACTTATAGCTATTTTTCTGCATTTTTTTGTTTTCTAAAAGTGTTATTGTTTTATTTTTCTCATTTTTTATCAATTTCAGGGATAATACATGCTTATTATAATGAATAAGTGGCATAGTCTTTCATTTTTCTCAGAGATAGGGAGGGAACCTTTATCTTACAATTAATATGATGAAATGAAGCAAAGGCAGAGATTTAGGAAAGGTAATGTTGATAGATATATACTTGACAAGGTAAGATATTATTCACGGCTAAAGGCAATAAAAAGAATTATCAGATATTCAAGGGCTCCAGGCATTTTTTTCCAAATACAATTTTTGATACAATTACTTGAAAATATTTTCAACAATTCAAGAATAAACAAAATAAGAATGAAGAGAACCAAGTATTAAAGGGCCAAGCATGAGCCATAAAATTACTTAATATTAAAAAGTCAAAATGTGCACAATAAATGCTTGCTATGTTTCCAGATTATTTCACAGAAAAATATGGAAGTGGTTGGAAGTTCATTGGTAATTTTCCCTCTTTACACCTTTTATTAATAAAATTATTTGAAAATATAATTTTATCTTTAACATTACCTTCATAATCAGAAGAGGAAACAAATGATATTCCTAAAGGGTACTGACCTATGGGATACAATTTGATGGAGGGAGTGCTGGAATTAAATGCAAAAGATTAAATTTTTTTCTGTAGATTAGTTACTAGTGCTTTCAACATATGATTCTTATCTAGACAACTTATTCAAACTATTTCCTCATATGTGAATAACGATATCTATATGGTGAAGATTAAATGCGATGGTTTGTTTCAGAAAATATTGTCAACCCCAGGCACTGTTAAAAAGAAAGGCATGGTCAGGATTTCCATTATGGCTATTTATTCTCTTCCTAAGGGTTCCCAAGAATGGAGACAACACCTCTGCTCTCTAACTTTACCTGCTGAAAATCAAGTTCTTGATAATGTACATGTCTCATACTTTCTATGTTCCCCCACCTCCCAGAATTTCAGGAAAATAAAGCTAGAAAAATTTCACTTTTATTCTACTAAATATTCTACTAACATTTTTAATCTTAGCATCTATTTTGGCCCATCTGTTCTTATCTGAACTGTTTCCAAGGGTTTCAAGAGTATAGAGAATGCATTATTTTAAAAATGACTGAGTTATTGTGGGTGAGCCTTATTTCTCTACAGAAATTTTGACCCTCAGCTGAGCTAACCACAGTCTTATTCTGTTTCCCCTTAATCCACAGGCAGATGCTGAGAACAAAACATCTCATGATATGGATATTGGCCTGAGTATAACCAATAGCTCAGGGTTTCAAGTGTCTGAGTTCATCCTGATGGGGTTCCCAGGCATTCATGAGTGGCAGCACTGGCTCTCCCTGCCCCTGGCTCTGCTCGACCTCTTGGCTCTTGGTGCCAGTCTCTTCATCATAATCACCATTCAACATAAGCCCATGCTACATGAACCCATGTACCATTTGCTGGGCATATTGGCAGTGGTGGACATTGGCCTGGCCACTACCATCATGCCCAAGATCCTGGCCATCTTCTGGTTTGATGCCAAGCCCATCAGCCTCCCTGAGTGTTTTGCTCAGATCTATGCCATCCACTGTTTCATGTGCATGGAGTCAGGCATCTTCCTCTGTATGGCAGTGGATAGGTATATGGCCATTTGTTATCCCCTTCAGTACCCTTCCATAGTCACTGAAGCTTTTGTCATCAAAGCCACTCTGTCAATGGTGCTCAGGAATGGCTTGTTGACCATTCCAGTGCCAGTATTGGCTGCCCAGCAACACTACTGCTCCAGGAATGAGATTGATCACTGCCTGTGCTCTAACTTGGGGGTCACAAGTCTTGCCTGTGATGACATCACTATCAACAGGCTTTACCAGCTGGCCTTGGTCTGGGTTGTGGTTGGGAGTGACATGGGTCTGGTCTTTGCTTCCTATTCTTTGATTATTTGCTCAGTGTTGAGGCTGAACTCTGCTAAAGCAACATCTAAGGCCCTGAATACCTGCAGCTCCCACCTTATCCTCATTCTCTTTTTCTACACAGCTATTATTGTAGTATCTGTCACTCACCCGGCAGGAAGAAGGGCTCCCTTCATCCCTGTTCTCCTCAATGTGCTGCATATTGTCATCCCCCCAGCCATTAACCCCATGGTATATGCTCTTAGGACCCAGGAGCTGAGAGTGGGCTTCCAGAAGCTGTTTGGTTTGGGTGAGCACGTGTCCAGGAAATGAGATAACTTTAAATAGCAAAATATTATATGCAATACTGAAGAAAGAGCACAGTCTTTGGAGTCCAACAGACCTTGGCAAAAATTTCATCTCTCCCAATTGCTGGAACATTGATTCAACTTAATTCATCTATATTGTATAGAACATAGTATGTGCAAGCCATTGCTGTAAGCATTTCACATATATTAGCTTTTTTAATCCTGTAACAACTGTATGAAGCAAGCACAATTGTTATTTACACACTTTGCTGATAGGGAAACGGAGTTGGGAAACTTGCCCACAGTCACAGAGGAAGGAAGTTGCAGAGTGAGCTTTGAATTGAAGCAATCAGCCTTCGGTATCCCGTCTCTTAACTCTTTCTATTTAAACTCGCTACTAATTTTTAAAATACAAATTAAGATAAACAAGGTAAAATTACATATTACTTCTTTTTAATAAAAGAAAATTCATTTTAAAGTTGGCCACAATTTTTCTCTCTAGGGGTGAGGAGAGTAGACTTTAAATCCTCTAGAAAGAGTCATTCTAGTGGACCTGCTTATATGGATGTAATAAAGAATTTGACTGAAATTATTTCGTCACTTCACAAACTCTGTACCAACTCTTGAGTTAACTTGCATTAGAGCTCTAAAAGAAATATCCCAACCACTTTTTTAAATCCTCAACACTACTTGAACTTCTCTAAAGAATTAAGAAAATCTCAGTGAAGTCTTGTAGTTTAATGACAGTATAAAGGACACCAACGGTCTCCAAAGGGAAATTTTCCTTATAAGAAAAATGATATATGTTTAGAGACAGAGAGAAAAGAAAGTTAGTAAAATTGTTTTTTCTTTATTTAAATGCTAAAGTATACAACTCAGCAAGGGTAGACTATTGGCTGCAAGATGACATGCGGATGAGGTTGGAAGTCTCTCCTGACCCAATCACACGGCGTTATGGCAAACTTTTGAAAGAGAAGCCTAACTTGTGCCAGTAAATCCAAAAGTCCATGTGTGAGAACCTTAAGCCATTACAATTCAAGCACTTAAATCATCTTCCGTTTGATAGAGTCAGATAGCGATAGCAACATTATGATATCTTTGGACAAGGCAGAATTGGACCCTGTGCTTTCACCTGTTTCTAACAGTGACTCCACATATCAAGAAAAAAAGCACTGTTGACTGAAAAGCAGTGGCACACTAATGGATGGATAAAATTTCCTCCTCTTTCCATATATGTGCAAGAGGAGTAAGCCCTGAGATCTTTTTAGATTCAGATTTCAGAAAGAAAAAAAGTAAATCCCATGAAAGGATTCTTCTAATCTTGAAGATTTCCACTTCTAGAAATGCCTTGACAACTGAAATGAGTGACTGAGACAGAAGTTTCAATCACTGAGGTTTATTAACCCAGCTTTAGGGGACATCCAGGAAAACATGAGCAACAGACAAACCTGTGGCTGTTTTTCCAAGGAGATTTTTCAGGAGGTTTAGTATTTATGCGTTTCCTTAAAGAGCATAGATGGTGTCTAGGAAGCAGGACAGGTAGGTGATAAGGCAAATGGTTACATTCCTATGAGACTTTAGTTAGTGCCTAGTAAATCAACATTTTACATAAGATAAGGTGAGTGTTTGAAAAGAAAACGGGTGTAAAGGAAGGGTCAGTTATGTAGATGTCTCTGGGTAGGTAGAGGAATTATTGGTCTATTTTTGCTCTGCACCAGGAAAGATAAGCTTGAATAGACATTCTCAATGTGAAATCAAACAGACTTATTAGTTCCAGGACCTACACTTAAGATTGCAGATTTAAAGTTACAATTGGCATGTCCTTATTTATAAAAGTCCAGCAAATAACTTACTTTTTTTTTTTTGAGGTGGCATTTCTTGTTGCCCAGGCTTGGACTCACCACCTCCACCTCCCAGTCTTAAGCGATGAAGCGTGATCTGGGCTCGCCACCTCCGCCTCCCAGGTTTAAGTGATTAAGTGTGATCTGGGCTCACCAGCCTCCACCTCCCAGGTTTAAGTGATTAAGCGTAATCTGGGCTTGCCACCTCTGCCTCCCAGATTTAAGCAATTCTCCTGCCTCAGCCTCCGGAGTAGCTGGGATTACAGGTGACTGCCGTCATCCTCTGCTAATTTTTGTATTTTTAGTACAGATGGGGTTTCAACATGTTGGCCAGGCTGGTCTCAAACTCCTGACCTTGTGATCCGCCTGCCTTGGCCTCCCAAAGTGATAGGATTATAGGTGTGAGCCTATATTGGGCTTTTAAAAACCTCAAAAATAGGAAGCCAAACCAAGGCAGACTTCAGACTTTGCCTGAAGTATTTATAGATTCATTCATTTTTTTTTTTTTTTAATTTTCTGTCTCG